GGCGAATTTATTGCGACAAATGTTGACTTGAGATACGACATCGAGAGGAGGAAGCTCCCAGGGAGCTGCCTGCTCAAATTGAATGTCAATCGATTTTAGTTTTTAATTTAAAAAGCCGCGCCTGGGAACCCTTGTAAGTTGTAAGTCTGGCATGTTAAGCTTAAAGTGAAGCCTAGTTCGAGTCCTTAAAATTAAGAATACGTTTAGATATAACCTAAAAATAAATTCATGGAACTGCTTTAAGATACATCTTGTCGGATTGGAGTATTTGTGGGATTGTCATGCAATCCAGAGGCTTCAACGCCCCCGAGAGCCAACGGTAAACAGACAGACAGGTCGGGAAATGGTAAAATCGCGATGGTTGGAAGACAATTATTTGACAAACGCTCCAAGTGGGAGCTGCAGCGGTTCCCGTGGGAGCGGCTCTCGGAGCCTATCCAAATAATGGCCCGCTAATTGTTTAATTGATAACCAGGCAAATCCCACCACGAACTCGCGTCTCGCATCTCGCATCCGCGGTGCGGTCTGTCAGCAATTTGTGCAAATTGCACGCACCTCGCCACACGACTCGCGTCGCAGGCCCCTTCCATTAGGCACTGTATAAACATATCAACACCTGTTATGGCACATGGGCCGGGCAACAGTCCGTTGCAAATATTGAAAATCACTGGTGGCCGCCCGTTCGTCCGCCCTCTGCAACCTAAATAAGTTTTATTTGCTTGATTTTAGCCAGCTCAGTTTTATGCAAAAATTTCCCCTTCCGGTGTGCGAGTGTCCTAGTCAATCAATGAGACATGCCGACAGGGGACAGGACACGCGGACAGGACATTTTCATGAAGTAAAGCCGGACAGGAATGCTGGACCGGCGAGCGAGTGTCAGGTGTGCCTGACTCTTAATCCCGCACGTTGGTCGTTTGTCGCGTTCAAAAATATGTTCAGTACACTGGGAAAATATACATAAATCTTCAATTTGATTCTACCTTTTAGTAGAGTTCTATTTATTTCCATTTAAAGCCTTAAAATAACATACATTCACGCTTATTTCTCCAAATGGTTTCCCACTTTTCGGCCAGTGTCCTCTCTTTTGCAGCTGCATTGTCAATTTCACACGCCAGTTGGTCTTCTCACTCTGCGACTGGTGGTCCTGGTCCATAGTCCTAGGTCCATGGTCCTTGTTTCCGCCACCACCCGCCCTTTCAGCCCACTGGAGTGTATTTTGTTATTGCTAACCATTCGTGGCACGTTCAATTGATTGAATTGAAGTCGCATCGCAGCGCATCTCATCGCAGCGGAATGGCAAGAGGCACTGGGAGAAATCAGGACATTCTGGGATATACCATACCCAAACCTATAATATAAAATACCCTTAAGTTCTTCTTAGCTTTTTTTGTATTATTTGTGTTTTTGTATAATTTACAAGTAGCCTTTAAAGCCTTAAAATCCTTTTTTTTTTCAGTGTCTGCAACAAGGCTGGCCAATGGCGAATGGCGAATGCCATTGTCCTTTCAGTGTTATTGTTATTGTTGCCTGGGCTTGTTAGGCTGCGTTTGTTTTTGCTGGCGCTGCCTCGATCATATGTCCCTGCCAGCTGTCTCCTTCTGTCTATCTCGTCATCTCTACATCGCCATCTCCATCTGCCCCGCCCGGTGGTGGCAATTATTCAATTTGATTTACTCTTCCTCACCCGCTTTGTTTTCCCTAACGCCGCGTCCCTTTCGAGCGGCTTTGGCACATTGTTGTTATCACACTTGAATAGCTGCCAAATGTGTCGCCCGTTGGCGGCGTCACAGTTTACACCTGTTTCCCCACCTGCTCCCCCTGTTTCCCTCTCTCGTCCTATCTCTTCTACAGCCAAAGCGGAAGTCGCTGCCCGCCTAGCGGAAGTGAATTTAATGCGAGTGCAAATAGGATAAGCGCTTTAGCAGGCGGTCATTAACACTTTCAAAGGACGATTTGGCACACGATTTTGCCTGAATTAAATATCTTTAGTAAGTAAGGGCTTAATTATAAATTTTAAAAATATTTTTACCTAATTGTACTTTATTTAACATAAAAGAACCTAACAACATAGAGCTTTCTGAATTAAAACTAAGGAATTTATGGCTTAGACATTGAATTCAATTCAGTTTTCAATTCTGTTTCCAGATCCAATTTAAACCTCCCGAAGTTGGCCTCCTTTTCCGTTTTAATGTGACTCCAAGCAACATTGCTGCTGATTTGTAAAGCTACTTAACCAACAACTTACAGACTTAGTTACCGTTTGCGTTGCAATAACTTGTGCTCTTCGATGATGCAACACACGGCAGACACTTCTCCTGAATCAAGCCAATCAATCGTTTTATCCTGCTGTTTAGTACATATTTTACAACATCTGAGCGGCGGAGTCCCTTTGGGCCGCCACTGAACCCCGCCTGAACCTTAACAAATAGCGACGAAAATTGCAACAAATGTGTTACGAATGGTTCGTGATCGTGGCATGACAGAATGTCGCCGGCAACAACAGCAACTGGAGAATTGTAGACCAATGAGGAAATCGTTACCTTGGCTTAAACCACTTAAACATCACGAGTTGAACTCTTAACAGCCTGGGACTGCAGTCTGAGCCTGATGCTGGGATGCTGGGAGAAGAGAAGGCTTTTCCGCGGACTGCAGCCGCTGATGTTGATGAGGAGGAGATGACGACGGCGAAGACGACGGCGACGGCGACGACAACAAAGAAGTTGACAACAGCAACGAACCCTAGAGAAACCGAAGCTGCACAGAGAAAAATAGTTGGTAAATAAGTGAGTCTTAAGGGGCTCACTTAAAGTATGATTCTGCTTAGGCAAATGCTTGATTCCCTGTTCAAAATGCAATTATGTTGCCTAGGATAAGACCTACTTATAAATCCAATAGGCTTTATTCCTTCCAGTGCATATTAGCCGCACGTTGATGGGAACCTATGAGAAGCAGAGCGGGACGGTAACGGAAGATTGGTTTTTGGTAGCTACGGGCTGCTGAGGATGCTTGTTTGTTGTTGCTGGCTATCCGCGTATCTGTATCTGTATCTGTAACTGCTCCGGCTCCAGCTCTGGCCGATTACAACGTAACCAAGTGTCTGAGGCCGCCGTGTTGTTAGTTAGTTGGATGCAAGCTGATGCAATAAATCGCTGACATTGTCCGAAGTTGTTGCCGCGATTGTGATAAAAGTAAATCGCTGGCGAATGCTGGGACACGATCTGCAGGCCCTGGAGGTGCAGGCATACCGTCAGAGGTACCAGCTCCCTCGATATCGCATTACATCCCATTCAAATTCCGTAATAGACAGCCTGGCCTTGTCCCACTTAGCGGTTCCGCCTCCCTGCCTTATCAGTTTCACATGGCCAACACGTAGGAAAAGTTAACGCACACACACACAACACACATCCTCCGCCGAACTCGTTCTAATTCGCGTATCTGTGTGCCGGGGAAAAGTTCTTCAAACCACTTGGAATTTTTGGGAAAATCCCCAAAAGCGTTGCGTTGGCGTATTCTAAACTTTGCGCTCCTTTCTGCCGGAGCTAAAGTCATTATCATTAAAGCCATACTTTGCTGCCAGAAACTTTCGCCTGGCAAGCGCACCGGGGACGAAGGGGAGAGTATTGTAAATTGTATCTAACAGATACTTTATCGAGCCGAAACAGAAACTTTTGCTATTGTCCGCGAGCGACAAAACTGACACACATGTGAAGATGGAGACGGCGATACACACACACACACTCAGAGTCGCAGCAGCGGGGTCCTGCGAGTCCTGGTCTGGGAATTACATGCCAAGATAATGAGAGTATAACTGGGCGTGGCGGCAACTTATTCTTCGATTGTACTGGTAACTTTTGCGGCAAAACTTTTGCGCTTTTGCAGAATGCAAAATTCGGAGAGGAAAGTGTTGTGAAAAATATGCATCGAATACACTAGTCGAGATACTGAAATATTTATTATTTTATTTTCTTAATATCATATTTTACAAATTTAACATCGAATCCGAGGCACAAGCTTTCCACGCTTTGGCATATGCAAATTCCACTTGCCCTGGGCGCCTGTGAGACAAACTCCAATTTGTAATAAAACAACTGCGGGCACTGTCAGTGCCTTTAGAAAGTATTGCCATAAAATAAAATAAGAAAAAAGACTCATAAACAGAACGCGATTGGCTGCTGGTCAATCAAGTTACCTGGCATTTTTTGTGGCCAAAAGAAAGGCGCCCATGCGGCCCAGGCAGAGCCGAGGAAGTGATAGATTTTCAGGCTCACCGAATCAGGTTAGCAGTTCGCTGGCCAGAAAAGAGCAGGAACCAGCTGCGACTACTCCGCCGGCCTTTCACTGCTCCAGCTGCGGTGGCGGACCATCGAACTGCGACTGCAACTGCAACGTGCAACGTGCAACAATGCCTCGTTGATTTCCATGGCCCCGAGCGCGGTGATTACCCCAGCATGTTCCTGTCAGTTGGCGGGCAATGAAGACATATTGTGGTCATCGAATGGTGATTTTCTGGGGCCCCTAGCTCTGGGTTACAGCTGGGAAGGAGGAGGACCAACCAGAACCCTTCGTGGATTGTGTAGCTGCTAATTAGAGAGGCTCATTGGATCTTTGAATCCTTTGTTTTCCTATTACCCGTCTGGCTGCACTAATATTTGAAGTTTTAAGCCTGAAGCCAGCATTAAAGCAGCCCTTAGCCGAGGTTATTAAGCTCAAAATATCTTATGATAATTATGGCTATTCCCTGGATTTAAAATCTATACAAATTATTCTATAAATGCCTTATTAAAGTTTCAATAAATTCACTAGTAAATCAGTCAGAGAACTGCTAATCAACAAAATACGAAACCTAATTATAACCGGTAAATCGGCGCGCCGTCTCTAATTCTTTCTAGATTACAGTTTAAAACTACAAAAGTGTGTTAATTTCAATGTTACGCTTATCGAACGCTTGATTAATCTATAACATTTTTCACTTATTCTTTGGCTATATAAATCCTGTCAAATTCAGGTGCAACTCGCAAAAAAAAAAAAAAGAAAATGAAGTTCATCTCTTCGGTACTGGTACTGCTGCTGGCCTTTACGGCAACTCAAGCCGGAGGTCCGACAAAAGATCCTAGTAAGTTCTCCTTAAATGTCCTGTGAATTTCTCGCTATTTTAATTGTATTTTATTCAGAACGTTGGTGCAGACTCAATTTGGGTCCCGCTTGGGGAGGCAGAGTTTGTTGACATAGAACAGTGGTTTCTGTTAATAAATAAAATCATCATTAAATGTGTGTAAATGATAGTACAACACAAAATATCCAAAGCCAGTTTTTTACTTAAATGAAACCCTAGGCTTGTTCCTCATTATTAAATACATTTTTAAGCAACATTTATACCATAATATAATAACATATTCCATGTAAAGTTTTGTACATACTTTATGCTTATTCTTTAGCTTTATAACTGCCTACTTTTGGAGTCAGTCTTTTATTATTCATAGCTGCCTGAAAGTATGTGAAGAAGGTTAATCGTATTCGCTGGAGTTAAAATCGAATCTATCTATTTTTGAATAGTTTTAAAATCAAATGCTTAGTTAAATGACATAAAAATGTAATAATTTTGAAATTATACAATAATATCACATGGCTGTCATAAAAACAATCGGTAAATTCACAGCTTGGCAAACTTTTGACTATAATTCCAATACCCTGCCACGTATGTAATTTCGGAAGAGATTCTATATTATTTCTAGTGCACACAACTTACAGATTGTCGTACACATATGTGTGTGTTTGCAATTAGCAGCGCTTTATTCGCTGGTGTCCTGGCTTCCTTTTTTGCTGTTGCTGTGAGCGCTGGCATGCTGCTGACAAATGCAAAGCCATATGATGCCGACTGCCTCCTACCGACTGGCAACTGGCCTGTGTCGTCGTACAATGACCCACATTGTGATGCGCTTTATTAGACACGCGAGGCGCAAAAACAAAGGGCCGACAATGAGGCCGGAGTCCGTGGTCCTGGGTCCGGATCCCGGACAATGGCCCAACGAGGAGACTATGACGACAACAGCCCCAACAGTCGACATCATCACGCAAACAAACAAAGACAATGCAATGTGGCACACATCAGGACATTAAACTCGCACTTGTATTGCTGCAACTTGAAGGAATTTGTAATTTCTGTTTTAGTATTATTACGGAAATGTTTACAAATAATAATTGAGAATTTATGGAACAAAACAAAATAGCTTTACATTTCTATCATTGCCTAAACAGACTAAGTTATTTAATTAATATATTGTAGTACTCATTCTTGCATATGTTTATACACAATTTATTAGCTTAACAAACTAAGGAGAAAAGGTAAGTTATTCAGATTAAAAGGAAATATTTTAGAGGGGTTGCTTTAAAGCGTAGAAATATTTTGTTAGGTAACAAAATTATTATCTCAAAGTTTTAATCTGAGCATTATAAGTACTCTTTGACATTTAAGAACAATCCTTTATCAAAATTCCTTTGCAAGACCTGCTCCGAGGACCATGCCATTTTCCTGTATAATTGCATTTCTGATTAGATGGCTTCCAGTCTCCTGGAACTCGGTAGAAGCCTGGGGTGTTGGGGGGGCCGACCCAGGCCTTTTAGCCAATGAGACTGTTAGCCAGCTTCAGTTAGCCACAGCAACAATCGCCCTCATCGTCATCAACATCAGCAGGTGCAGCAAAGGAGGCGGAGCTGCCCTCCGCACCGCAGACGTTAACAACCGGCGACACATGCAACAAAGTGGGCCAGTTTACACCTGCAGTTAGTGGCCAGGTGAGTGGGGTGCCAGGACCGGGTCACAGTTTCAACCGGGCCGTGGCCTCTCTCACTCATGTAATTATTTGTAATTTGTTTGCCCAAGTGCAGGCAAGTGGAGATTTCGTTGTCGGCAATGCAAACCAATTGTCCTGGCCGGTCCTGCTGCCACTCCGCCCACTTGGGAAGTGTACTTAGTTATGGCTGTTATTGCAGCTAATACTATATAGAGGCTACAGACTACGGGCTACAGGCAGTGTGTAGCATGTTGGTTGTCGTAAATCGAAAATGCCAACAGCTACTTAAAAGCCTTTCCATTTGAAATATTGGATGGCGAGCCCACAAAAGGGCGGGGCGGAAAGCGGCTCCCTTCACCAAATATATATATATTTATATAGATTGATGATGGCGACGGCTGACAGCGGAAGCGGAAATGTTTTCGCCTCTGCCAGACTCTGGCATTCTGAAATAATTAACCCGAAATAGACAGCAAATCTGAGAGAAGGCCAAAAGCTTATTGTGTAATTGTCCAGTGGCAGTGACAAAGACAACAAAGAGCCAGCAGATCCATAAATTATCGGCATCCAGATGGAGGGATTTTCCCTGCTAATCCAAGTCGGGCATCCCTAATAATACACAAGAAGAAATATAATAGTATTTCATTTTATTTGGTCTTGAGTAAAAGGGATCTTTTTGCATAGATAACTAGTTTTAAAGATATTGAATATTATGAATATGTTTTCAAATTATGTAAATTTCATGATTTATCTGTTTTTTCCTGTGTCCTTCTACCCTCTACAAGAGCCAGGATAGTCTGAGTCAGTGCCGCACCCTTGCTGGAATATTTCAATTACGGCCCAACTCCGAGGCAAACCACAAAAGAATCGAACCCACGCCCCGGGCATATGCTCGCGGGCTGTCGTCCTCCTTCGAGTTGAATACATTTCGATTAATACAAATTTGCTTATTTCCCTCTTTGAATGCAAATCGAATTATGCGCGAAATTTAAGTGGAATTTCGTTCGGGGCGTCGGCGGGAATTCGGCGAAAATTTGCATCAATTTTTCTTGGCATTAACAGCGGACTGTACGGGAATGGGGCTTCTGTCGAGCTATCTGTGCCATTATTGAGTTAATAAATCACATGCCAGCTTCAATTACCACAGGGTGCGGCAGTGGAAGTGGAAATGCTTACCTCAAAAATGCCGCTGACTGACAACACTCGCAGCAGCAATGGCTCGAGAATCTGAAATGTCATTACCAGCCACTTGAAATATTCGATTTTCTATTCAGATGCTAAATTTGCGTAATAACTCAGCCGATTCAGTGCTATTTCGTCCTGTTCTCGTCTTTCGTCAATCTCGAATCGCGCTTGTTTGCCATTTGGCTGACTGCAGAAAGGGAAAGGATCTGCCGGCACTCGCAAGGCGTATCCTTTACTGATGTCCTCGTCGAATGAATAGTGACTTCGATGGGCGTCTCAAGCACATCGGTCCTAATAGGAATCGCACTGAAATTGAATTAGACATGCGAGGCTGACAGGCAGGGCAAAAAATCAAAAGGAATGACAATATTTAAGGAATTTTATTCACTCTTGGAATCCCTTTTCTACTTATTATAATCTCGAGATGTTAGTTCTTATTTCAATTTTATATTTTAAAACCAATTTGACTTCTTCTGGTCCTGATTAACCTCTGCTTTAATCAAGTCTCTTACTTTGCTGTTCTTAATTAACAAGCCTCGCACTCGCTTTAAGCCTTCATTGAAAGCGGCCTTTATTTTAAGGGCGGACGAGCGCGAAAAGTTATCGAAATTGAAGTTGTTTATATTCCCCTGCGACTCCCTCGGTCCTTTTGACAGCCTCACAGGCCAGAGGGCGTACTACAGCACAGCGTGAACGTGCGAACGAACCGGACATCCGTTTATGGAGCGGATGTTGCCTGATTTCCGCCCCGCTGACAGGCCAACCAATATCCCAATGGCCGCCGTCGACCCGAATTGTTTGCAATAATTTATCTTCAACTTGCATTAAATGACAAAAACGTTGTATTGTTGCGCCAGTCGTCGTCGCATCATAAATCAGAGATCAGGCCCCGGGCACGGTAATTGCTGTGGAAATGCGGCCAAACTGGGTTAAGCTGAAATTAGTTGCTTTGAGTCGGACTAGCCGGCAAACATTTTTGATTTAGCTTTTCGATTGGCCGTTCTGCCTGTCCCTCTCTGTGCAATTGTAGTTCCAGTTCCCAGCTCCCAGTTGTTTGCCCAACTTTTTCCAAACACTCTCACACACACTGCCGGGCACTGGCACGAACAATATTTTAGAGCAGGGCGGGGAAGTCGGGTTTTTGGCTTTACCCTAGCTAGAGGTATTTGAATTTTAGTTGAATTTAAAAATTTTATAATTATAATTTATACCTTTTGAGTGTTGAATTTAAGTTAAAATGGATTTTAACTTGTTGGTGTTCAATCTAAAAAATATATATATAAGCTTCGTCTTTCGAGACGGGGCGAGACGAGGAAACCCATGAACATCCTGAAAGCAAAGTCAATACACTTCTTTATATAGGAAAATTTTCCTTTAAAATATTATTCAAAATATAAATATATCCTTTAGCATTAATTGTTCAAGAAATCATAGCAATTAATCTATACCATCTGCCAGGGTATCCCGCATTTCGTTCCCCGAACACACGATAATTTTCTTGTTCCGTCTCTGACTCCGAGCTGTGTCTCTGGCTTTGGATATATATTTCTGGGCTTGGGTCTGGTCCTGGCATGGGCAACATGCACAGTAAATTTTCATTTGCAAGACAGTTGGTGGTGTCGGTGCCGAGGAAGTGGGCGGCGCAGTGGGCCGGGGGACATGCATTTAAATACGTGTTGAATTATTGTCCTGCAACAGCAGGAGCAGCCGAGTGCGCCGAGGATATGCTCCAGTTCCAGTTCCAGCTACCCTGCCCCTCGTCCGCCTCCCCGTACCTATTAAATTAAATTGCTTAATTTTCTGAAGCTGCCAAAGGGAGGCGGGAGGGAGCTCCTGCAGAGGAGCATCAAACATTACAAAACTTTCATCATTGTGTGACATGGAATTATTTGTTTGCTCGTTCTAGTCGTTCCGCTGGCGCTTTCTGTTGCCATTCCTGTTGTTGCCAGGCAACATTCATTTCGGTTGTTTAGATTTTATGCTCGGGAATTTTATTTATCGCCAACTCTCCCCGGCAGCTTCCACTCCGGTTATTTACTGTACATCCATGTAGAGTCCCCCGCCAGCTCCTCTCCGCTCATTGTTGCCTAGTTGGTCAGCATGACAATAATAGCAATAATAATTAAAACAAATGGACTGTTCTCCGCTGGCATGTGTGTGCGGGGATCCGATTGTTTATGCAGCCTGCGGGCGGTAAGCAAATGTAGTGATTCAAGTGTTGTGCGATCAAAAGGCAACGACTCTGAATGACCGAGAGCTTTATGTAACAAGCAGATTAGGAGAAGTTGAGGAGCAGAGTCTGGAATCAAACAAATACAAGAAGTTAT